CTATTTCTTGCCAATGAACCAGTGCCTCAAAAGTGATCCTGGACCTTGTCCAGTTCACCCTAAGTATACATAAGAACATGTTCCACATATTTGTAGTTGTTTTGCAGTGCAGAAATAGGTGACCATTTACCTCAGCCTGTTGTCCACACATGTAACACCTTGAGCATATCTATATAACTCTTCTCTGTAAGATTTCATAGGTCAAACAGGCTCTTCTAATCACCAACCACACAAAGCATGATACTTTGTGTGGTATCTTAACCTTACATATTAGTTTCCAAAGAGTGGTTTGTGTTTCTTTTTTTTTGAGATAAGTGGTTTGTATTTCTTCCCAATAACAAGACTATACTGTGAAAAAAACCTTTGTCCACCATAGAGGCTTCCACTTTGCCTCGTACATCTTCTTTCCTAATTTTGTCTCTTCTAGTATGCTCCACACATCCATCTAAGCATTCTCATTTCTGCTACCTTCATCTTCTGAACTTGCAAGTTCTTGACTAACCAACACTCCACCCCATACCAGTGTTTTGGACGGCGAGAGGTGACAAGGGCCTGCCTCGCCACGCGGCGAGGCGCTCGCCTTTTGAATGAGCCCAATAATACAAATTAAAATATTAATTGCATATATAAATATCCAAAATACTCAATAGCAATAACATATATTAGCAAATATTTCAATTCAAAAACTAATAGTAGATACTAAAAGTCTAGAACTTTAACAATAATTCAAAAGACAATACTAGAACTCTAAAAGTCTATTCTTCTTCAAAACTATCCAACTCTTGAAGATCAACATCCTCTACATCATTATATTGCTCCTCATCTTCTTCCTCCTCGTATCCTTGTATCTCAAAATCTTTTTTTTTGAGAAGGCAGTTCAGATTTCAGAATTTCAGATTCACTTCACAAGAAATTGAAGAGAAGAAAAGAAGAAAATAAGAGAAGAAGAGGACTGAAGAGAAGAAACGAAGAAAAGAAGAGAAGAAGAGAAGAAGAAGAAGAGAACTGAAAAGAAGAAGAAAGAAAAGAGGCCATACCTTTCAATTCGCGCGACTGAAGGAGAAGAAAAGATCGCGAGGTTGAGGAGAAGAAACGCGACTGACCCCAAGTATGGAAATAGGAAAAAAAACCTAATTTTGACTAATATTATTAAGTCAGATCTTTTTTAAAAATTTAAAACAAAAAGGCGCCGCTATTCAGATCTCCATTACGTCGCCTAATTGATCTCGCCTCGCCTCGCCTCACCTCGCCTCACTGTGAAATGGCATGACAGGCTCGCCTCTCCACACCATAGCGCCTTTGGCAAATGGCGCTCGCCATTCAGAACACTGCCCCATACAACAGGGTAGTACATTCTTATCACGTAAGACACAGATGTGAGCCTCCATTTCAGTTATCTCGTTCAAATATAATGTGTGACATCCTTCATCCTTGTCAATCTTCATCTCCTTGAATTATAGACCCAAGATACTTAAAGTTTCCTCTCTTGGGGATGACTTGTGTATCAATCCTCACTTCTCCATCTGCCTCATGTGATGTGACATTGAACTTACACTCTATGTACTCTATTTTAGTCCCGCACATCCTGAAGCCTTTAGACTCTAGGGTCTATCTCCATATCTCCAGTTATTGTTATCTCTGTCGCGTGTCTTGTCGACCAATATTATGTCATTTGCAAATAGCATACATCATGGTGCTTCCTCTTGAATATGTCGTGTCAATTCACCTATGACCAAGACAGTAAAAAAAGGCTGAGAGTTGATCCTTAGTGGACTGAAAAGTGTTCTTGGTCTTTTCGCACTATCCTCGACAATCTTGATTCTATTGTACATGTCCTTAATCACTCCTAATATGTGTCGTAGTTATAATTCTAGAATTCAATCATCTCTATTAAACCTCCTTCAGAACTATGTCTTATGCCTTTTCTAGGTCGATGAACACCATATATAAGTCAATTTCTTCTCCTTTTACTGCTCCAACAATCTCCTTAAAACGTAAATGGTATAGCCTCAGCATGAATCAAAATTGGTTCTAATAAAAAACACATTCCTCCTAATTCTAATCTCGACCACCCGCTCCCAAACTTTCAGAGTGTGGCTTAGTAGTTTGATACTCATACAATTGTTGCAATTTTGAATATCACCCAAACTTTCATAGTGTGGCTTAGTAATTTGATACCTTTATAGTTGTTGCAGTTTTGAGTATCACATTTGTTCTTGTACAATGGGATCACTATACTCCACTTTCATTCTTTGGGCATCTTAAACAACAAAGGTAGTCACTCCAAACCCACCTTGTTTTCCCTCTTCCACAATGCCGCAAGAAATTCATCTAGCCCAATTGTTTTTCCTCATCTTATATTATGAATTGCCCTCTTAACCAGGGGGGCCCTACATGTAAAGGTGGGAGTGCACGTGCACCAGTTAACTTCGGAAAAAATCATGTGTATATATATATATCTATCTTGAAAAACTGATAGAAAAAGGAATATAATAAAAAGTGCACCCGTAATGAACATTGAACTTCCCTTGGTCTACTGGTAGAAGTGAGGAAATACCTCCTTCCAGACCCGGGTTCGATCCTGGTCAACAACTCTTTTTTTAAACTCTTTTTATTACAAAGTCAAGCGTCCATTAAGCGTTGAAAATTTTGCTTCGCTTATGCTTAAATATTATTGGTGCACCCAAACTCTTCAAATCATGGGTTCGCCTCTGCTCTTAACCTTCTCAAATATAATATACCTACAATTTCCAAAATCTTGACTACTCTTGGTGTTCTCTAAATCACTTATTTAAGAGTTTATTGAAGTACTCTGTCATTTTATTTAACGAGGGCCTCTTCCACATATACATTGTCATCCTCTTCCCCTACTTATCCTTGGTTGGTCATATAAAGTTCTTTTTTTCCTCTTCCTTTTAATCTCCATATCCATTAGCAAGAGTTTATGCTAAATTGTGAGGTTCTCACTCGGAATAACCTTACAATTTTCTTACATAAACCTCTATCACTCTTCCTAAGAAGTAGGTAACCGATTTGAGTTTTTGCTACCGTACTAAACCACCCTTATGGTACATGAAAAAAAAATTATGTCTAATAATCTTGTAAAGCTTAGAGCTTTACCATTTTCAAGTAACAAACTTCCCAAAAATATGGTGTACATACACAAGGCAAGAGTCGGGACCAATGTAAATCCAAGTTGAAACTAAACCATATTGCCAACTAATATCACCTATATAGATCTTCTCTTTCATAGTGTCATATCTTTCATTAGGTTTGCATGGATTCCAAGATATTGTAGGTCTTTCGAGACAACTCTCTTCCATGTAATTTAAGGTCCAAAAATCCTTTTTAACACCATAGTTTCACACCCATAGATTGGTACTTCTAGAGGTCGACGTAGGATAGCAACAAACCATCTCAAGTGATCTTCTCTGGCTTTATGGTGGATTTTAACGGTCCAACATTCACTCACATATAACACTATATTGAACTTACCTTTTCATTTGGTGGGCATCCTTCTATCACATAATACCTCACTAACACTTCTCCATTTCAAGGTATAGCAAACACATTATTACCAGTAGGTCGATTTCTTCTCATTAAAACTCCATAAACTATAGAGCTTCCTTCTCGTTAAAAGAAGATACTCCATAGTCCATCCTTGGCACAGAGCAATTTAAAGTTGAAAGAGTGGGAGGAAAAAAGTCCGTACCTTGGATATGGGAACATATCAAGAACATAGAATTTGGGCTTGGAAGTATCAATCTCATCAGGGGTTCGAAATGTCTTATTCTCTTCCCAATAATGTTGCCATTTTGGTTCAATTTCGTGAAACGGATAAGCCCTTTTGACCTTCTCATGTTGCTCATTTGTCTTTTGAGCATCAATTGCTTTTACTAGCAAAGTCACGGTATTTTTGCTAGAACTTTTTGTACAATTGGAGACTCCGAAGCGTTCATGGTTAAAAGATTGACGGCGGAGTATAGGGCGGTGATAGGCAGGGAGTATGAGCGCAGGGCGGAGGAGAGGAGGACGAGGGAGGAGATGAGGAGGCAAGTGATGAAGGTGCGTAGAAGTATGGAGTGGAAAGGGCATTGCTATGAGGAGGAGGGGAATGAAGGAGTTGCAGTGGTTTGACAAATTTCGAAGGTGGCAATTTGTTGAGAAGAAGAAGATTGGATAATGTAATCATGGGCTTGGGCTTGGGCTTGGGCTGGGCTTACTCTCTTCATAGAGTTTGGACCATAGGAATGTCTTCATTTACACTTCTGTCCCTGTTTTGTGTTTATTCTCAAGGTCAATAACTTTTCACGTAACATAAATTAATTTTATAAATTTCAAATAAAATAAAAAATATTTGAAATATATTATAAAACCTACATGATGTTGTCACCTTACTATTGGGAACGGTTTGGCCAAGAGAATTTTTTATTGTAAAGAAAAGTATTCAATCTTTTTTATTTTTATAAAATGACCTTATTTAAATTATATTTCATACTTTAAAAAAAAATTAAATTTTAAATATTTATTACAAAAAATATGATCAAACACAACTGAACTTTAAAAATTCTAAATAAAGTAAAAAATATTCCCTTCGTTTCTATTTACTTGTAAGATATTTTCTAATTTGATTTTTCTTTTACTTGTTATTTTTGACAAATCAAGGAAGGACAATAATTATTCTTCTTATTATACTCTTAATTTATTAATATTGGCTTAATGTCTTTGAAAAATACAGTGAGTAAAATATGTTTAAGACTATAAAATAAGAAAACTCATTATATCAATAATTATTTTCTTAATAGGTAAAAGACACAAAAGGAAATACATATTCCATAGCCAAATGTCCACCAAAAACCGCGCATTTATAGGTCCCAAAAAAGGCATGCTTCATCAATCGTTTCTTGTTCCTCAAGAATAAGGACAAACAAGTCATTTTACTATGTTAATCAAACCCTACTATTGCACTACCTTTTCCCTATATATATAGAGGGATCTCTTTGCTTGCCCCTTGTGATTCCTCATTATGGGGAGAGAGTAGGGGGCTTAGAAGGAGGGTTTTAAAGCAACTTTTTCTTGGCAAAGAATACACCAAAGATGGATCTAGAATTTGAAGTCAATTTGTACTATTTTATTGGATTGTTGGATCTATATCTTTGCATAAAAAGTGTTAATTGGGAGATTTGAATGAAGTTGAGAACAAAAAGGATCAAAAGATCAAGAAAACATGGGTTTGGAAGAATTGGAAGGGCTTATTATTTCATGGTAAGTACTTTGTGTAAGTGTTATTTGGATATTTTCAAATTTGACTTGCTCTTTGCAAGGTTTGCATTGTTTTTTGGAATTGTTTGTTAATTAGCTATATAACTTTGGTTCCCAAAAGACAATTGTGTTATATGGGTTTAGTTCTCGTAGAAGTTGCATCTTTACTAATATCGTTGTTGTTTGGATTTGGATTAGTAACGTATTTAGATGCCTCCATATTGTTGGAAAGTTGTTCTCGTCGCTTTCCAACCACTTGCTTGGGTGGTAGAGTTAGTGGGGAGATGTTTCTCAAATAGGATAGTTGGTTAAATTGATAGAAAAAGACTTGTTGTGGGGTGAGTGTTTGGAACGTTCGGATTGAATATGAAAATTTTGATTCACGTATTGAAGAAATTACAATCCAAATAAGATTTTAATGGATTGAATTTTTAAATTACGATTTTGGATTGATCGATTTGGATGTTTTGAATTTAACTTTTGAGCCTTTAAGTTCGTTCATAACAATCAACTATCCCAATTCACCTAATACTTTGCTTTTTAATTGTGATCACTCTATTGATCATGTCGTGTAATCAGAGAGGGAGTCGGGATTAGGAGTTTGAGGTTCTAAATTTTAGTATAGAAGAGGATTTTGGGGATCTAGATCTTAGGATAGAAGAAATGAGTTTGGAGAATCTAAATTATTGGACAAAAGAGATGATGCTTCATTTTTAAAAAAAGAGAAACTTTTGTTGATAGTGTTGTTAGAATCCACAACATTAGTGTTTCCATGAGTCATCAAACTATTTTATAAGGGATTCACAAGTGATATATAATTTTCTAATACAAATACAGAGTCTACAAAAAAGTTATTGAATTGTCTGAACCCACAAACCCCCACTTAGCTTACCATTGAGTCGTCAATCAATTTTATAAGGGATTCACAAGTTATACATAATTTTATGATGCCAATATAGAGTCCACGATAAAGTTATTGAATTCGTCTGAACCCACGAACCCCACTTAGCTCTGCCTTTGAGTGTAATTTCATATTGAACCTAATAATATAATGAGTAAGTCATAAGGTACTAATTTTATTGGACCTCGAAAGAGTTGGACTTGTTAGTATTGCACATATGACATCGATAGGGTTGAATATAAGGTGCATCCAATGATTTGGCCTAGTGGTCAACAAAGTGGGTTGAGAATCATGAGATTTCAAGTTTAAATTCTAGCGGAGAGAAAATTAGTAGGTGATTTCTTCTCATATGCCTATTTGTGTTTGGATGTCTATTCGTGTTTGGGCAAATATCATTGATATATATTGTGAGAGTGTTGTTTGCAATCAAGAATTGACTCATCTAAAAATGAGTAGTAGAAATGAGGATGTTTAAATAAATATATGTGCATAATAAGGAAAGATAGGATTACAAAAGAAACTATTCGAGATAAGGTGTATCTGCAATAGACAAGATGTGTGATGTGACACTAAGATGGTTTGGACATACGAAGAACTGGCACTTCTAAAAGTGAGTTGTGAACATTAGGATGCTTAAATGAATATATGTGCATATTAGGAGAGATAGGATCAGAAAAGAAACTATTCAGGACAAGGTAGAGAGAGTGGCCTTGCAATGGACAAAATGAGTGAAACGACACTAAGATGGTTTGGACATGTGAGGAATAAATGTTCCAATCAAAAGGTGTGGTAGACAAAAAAAAGTCTTGGATTGAGGTTATTAGACATGATATGACACACATGTGGTTTATCAAACACATGATGCTAGATATGAAGATATAGAGGTTGATGATTAAGATTTAAGATTGAAGATTGAAGATTAGTATGTAGTTGAGTTTTGTTTGGTTCCCCGATCGTTATTAGTATTGTTACTCTCCTCCTGGTTTTATTATTTGGTTTTTATGTTACCCGTTGTTTACTATGCTTCAATTATCGTACATTTTGTTATTATTGCTTACTTTTTTCTTAATTGTTTTCAGCACATCTTTGTTATTATATTTGTTTTACTTTTTTTGATATATTTAACTTGAGTCGAGAATCTATTGAATCAACATATTTATCAAGATAGAGGCAAAGATTCATACACGCCCTCTTTTCAAAACCTCATTATGGAATAACTAAAGGGGTCGTTTGATAGGGTGTATAAGTTGTATTAATGATGTTTGCATTAGTTATGTCGAGATTATTTTTTATGCATTGTTTGGTTTTGGTGTATTAAAAAATAACATGCATTCCATAATTTTTTTAAAAAAAATATTTACAAAGATATCCTCCACTTAAAAAATGTAGAAGAAAGTTTTGAGAGGAAATTTGGTCTTTATATGTTAATGCATGCATTAAATTTCTTTGCACTACTAATACTATGGATTTTCATGTATTAGCAATGCACACTTAGGGGTCGTTTGGTAGAGTGTATTAAAAAAAATAATGCATGTATTAGCCTTGTGTAGTACTAGTACATTGTTTGGTACTCTTTTCCAACCTATGTATAACTAATACTTGCATTAGTTATATACTCTATTATGTATTAAAGTGTGTATTGCTAATACCATGGATTTCTAGGTATTAGCAATACAATGATTTTAACGCATGCATTAACTTAATTAAAGACCCAATTAATCCTCAATACCTTTTTTTTATATCTTTTCCATCATAATAGTGAAGGGTATCTTTGTAAATAATTTTTTTAATGCATCAAACCAAACAATACATAAAAATAATATATGTATTATTAATGCAAGCATTACTAATACATGCATTGCTAATGCAAGCATTATTAATACACTTTATTTAGCATTATTTTTATACAATCTACTAAACAATTCCTTAATACATTAGTGTATAACTAATGCAGACAATAACTGTACATAGCATGAAAAAGTGTATCAAACAAATATTACTTATACATAAAGCTAATGCATGCAGAAGTGTATCAAATAAGATATATTACTAATACACAAAACTAATGTATGCATTATTTTTGCGATTGCACTACCATCTAACCCTCAACTCGGTGCAATTGAATTCTCCGTGAAGATGCGGAGTACCAACGACTAGACGGTAAGACCCTGTGCACCTTAACTATAGTTCGCAGTGACAACCTTAATCGAATATGTAGGATAGGTGGGGAGGTGGTGACACACAACGACCAATCCTGAAAGACCATTCTTTCGTCTAAGGATGCCTAATCGTCGCACCGATCATTTGAGGGGAGGCGGGATACTGCGAGGTGGGTAGTTTATCTGGGGCAGATGCCTCCTAACGAGTAACGGAGGTGTGCGAAGGTAGGCTCAAGCTAAGATGCTACTCATGAGCTTAATGGTACAAGTCTGACTGTGAGACTGGTCAAACTGAGACGAAAGTCGGCCATAGTGAAAGTATATTGTCGTTGCTGCGTGTACGTCTTAGTTTTAGTGCACTATATTGATTTTCAAGAATGACCAATTTTAGAGCAATAATTCAATTGATGCTTCAAACTTTGTAGACACGCAGGGTCGTTTAGTTTGAAGACATCTTAGGATAAGATTAGTTATGTTAGAATTAATTATCTTAGTATTTTTAGTAAATGTTTAGTTTGTTATATTAAAAATAATATGGATTGCGTAATTTTTAAAAATAAGTTTGTTTAAAAAATATCTTCCATAAGAGTAAAATGTGTAAAAATGACATAAAAAAAGGGTTTAAAGGGATATTATGTCATTTTAACTTATTTTATCTCACCAAATGTCTCCACACTATTTTACTCTATAATTTAGTTTGTGTCAAAACCCTGAATGAATGTGATCTAATAGTTGTCGAATTCATAATGTTAATCTAAAACATGGCGCATTTATTGTTGTTTCTTTAATAAAAAATGATGATATAGTTACGACTTACGAGTAGTATAATATGTGACTCAATAAAACCACTATACAACTAGACTGTTTTTGCCTAATCTAAAGCAACGGTAATATGCAGATAAAAATTTACTCATATTCGGTGTTGACCCTTAGTTAATAAATCCATACACGTTTGTACATAAGCTTTTAGTGCCTCATCAAATCACTTAATAATTATAATAAAATACATTTGATTTGGTATAAACACTCTTTGCTTTAGTTTCACATTTTTCTATCTAGAAATTATTTACTACCAATCAAACAATAAATCCCTGTTAGGAAACCTATTGCTGCTACCTTGCTTGGTTCCACACCCCATTGTTTTATTTACTTAAAGTCTAACATGTACTAGTGGTTCATAATTCCTTAAAGAGTACTATAGAAAGTATTTGCATGAAATTTCACATTATATTCCATTATGTAATCAAATGCGAAGGTTGCGAGTTTTTGTATAGGAGAAGCTGCCTTTATTGCAGGAAAAAAGAATGTTCCTTTTAACATTTACTTTTCTACAGGCAACAATGGTGAAGAGGGCCTAAGCTGCAAGAAATATGTATCAAAATTGTCCTTGGCCTAACACCTAAAAGAACACCCAAGGACAATAGCAACAACCAAATACTAACTGCTACTGCTGCTAAAGAAAGTACTGCTATTTCTCTAAACTATGTATGTGAGCTGCTCCAAATCTGTGACAACTTGGTTGATTGCATGAATGACCATCTTCTTTATCTGTTACACCAGAGGACGAAACAAGTCAGTAAGAAATGGAGGCTAGGCTTAACGTAGCCAGATTAAAACAAAGCATTTTTGATATGGCACCTCTAGTTTGTCTTCTCTGGCCTTGTGGCCTTTCGGCAATGTCCTGAACTCAGCTGTGAGGCGGAAACATTCTCGAATGTTTTCAGGAGAAACAAAATCAGCAGCAACTTTGGTACACGACTGGAAAGTTGAAAACGGTTGGTTACTTGATGAACTTGATCATCTGGATTTTCATGGATTATATAAGTATGATTCTTACCTTGAGATTACGCACTTGGTGAGGGCATCCTGCAGGAATGAAAACTGCCTCTCCAAGTCTTTGCTCGAATGTCCAAGGTTCAATCCCTAAAATGGTAAGCATCCACATTTTGAGTTTATTAAACAAAATGTGATCCTTGTTCTTAAGGAAAGATAACGAACAAGGTAAATTACTAACCGAATTCTTCCTTCAGTTTTCTCTTGTGCTCCATAGTTAGGTAGAAGCTCTGGTCATGGATTGGATGAAAAACCTGATCAACCGGACAACAGAAAGTGTGCCTAAATTCCTTTGCATGCTTTAAAAGATACTCATTCAACTTGGGTACGTCTTCCCTTCTGAAAATGTCCCACAAGGCACCTCCAGTTGTCTCTGAATCATCAGAGGTTTTCTCCTCCCCTCTAATATCACTAGACATCTTCATAGGATATTCATCAGCCTCACATTTGAGGCGCTCTCTTTCATCTTGAGTTCTATGCCTCTGTTTCACTATTTCAATTGCAGACTGCTGCTCATCAGTTATAGCCATCTCTGCTGTGTGTGTCAAAATATTTATCTGACCAATTCAAAATTTTAAAATATTAGCTTGTCATGAAATGAGCCTGAAAAAGTAATGGTTGCAATCTTAGCAGGTAATGCATCATGGACAGAATACTGAACTGGGAAAAGCAATAAACTGCTATCAAGGTGAGAATAAACATAAAACTAGATTGTGGCATGTGGTTTAATTTACCTGGAATGTGACAATTGTCAAAATATATTGTATAGGACTGGCCATGAGGTTTATGAGTCTCACTAGACAACATAAGGCAGAAGAGATTGGATGAATGTGGTGGTTCTATATATTTGGAATAAAATGTTAGTTTTTCACCCATTTTGGAATTTTCATACAATTGAGATACCTTCTTACCAGGTCCTTGTCGATTTGGTCATAGTTTTTGGATGTGAGCTAAGGTAATATCCTCCAAGTTGTGATTTCAAGTATTAACCAGGGCTATTCACAAGTCAACACATATATTAAGGAGGTGGCATTGACATGAGAATAAAGTGAAGAAATCAAATGAATGAACTACAATAGTCCCGTCAAAATCATACCGCATCTGACATATCACAGTGAAGCTTTGTCACTGAATCCCCTCTCCCAAGTTCCTTGGTGACACCATACGCGATGTATGTCTTTGGACCCAAATCTGGTTTTATGACTCCAGCCGGTAATTTAACAGCAAGATTCAGAATCCCTATCCTTGGATCTGTGTACTCTTGGAATGGTAATGCACTGATGAATTCATCGCAGTGCCGAGGCAAGAGATTCTCAAACTTGTCAGATGGTGGCCAATCTTTAAGTTTGAGCATTTCAGGCCAAAGATTTTCATACCTTCTGCCTTCTGTATAACCTTTAAAAAACTTTCGAGTATTGATCGGAACCTGTGAAAGTTATATGTAATGTGAAGCTTAGCACAATGGCAGATGGTCATATTTTAATAACACCATGAAGCTATTCAAGAAGCAACTGCTATAATACGAGAAAAAAGTTATATTTAACAAAAGGATACTAGAAGCAAAAAAACCATTAGGAAACATACTAACTACCAAGTGAATGGGGAGAGGGGTGATGAATAAGTGGAATGTGATAGGTACTAAGCTTGTGGACAAGGTAGAAAATGCAGATGAATGAGAAAAAACCTGACAATCAGCCAGACAGTCGATAGCTTTCACTTCTGACATACTTGTAAGGATCTTTGAATCAGTGCCCTCACATAATGCACGCCACATAACCATTGGTTCCCAGCTTAAACCACTAGTATGTGCAAGAACATTTTGTACAATCACTGGTTCACCCTTGCCCCAGTGCCTACGAAAGTGTAAAAGTGCATCATCCTCCATTGCATCCTTTGCAGTAGGGAAATATAAGTAGTTATCATCAGAACCAACTCTTGAAGCCGCTCTGTGTAACAGTTCAGGGTCATCCATTCTACAAATCGGCTGGGAAATCATCTCGGAAAAATTGCACTGAATCAGAATCCTTTCTGCTTTTGCCTCCAAGGTTGATATCCAGTTTTTCGGTAGCAGATGCTTGAGCTCTAATACAAAATTTCCACATCCACCAATTGCTACAGGAGCACACATGATATTACCATCATAATTAGCAACCCAAGCAATTGGTTTGTTCTGGTCCTGTGGAATTTCCATATCATCAGAACTTTCAGGCTGTGCATCTCCACCGTGCATGTAATCATAACCTACATTTGGATATTGGACAACTGCTTTTTTACTATTTCCTGGAAACTTTCCTTCCCGAAGCTCTTGGCAGCAACTTATACATAGCTCAAATGAGCAATCTGGGCAGCTTCGATGAAGATCGACTATTGAAGTTGAACAGTTGTTACTGCTCCAAGGCCAATGAATCAACAAGAATAAACCCTCTAAAAATAATGTATAGTTGAAAGAAGAAAAAAAAAGAGAAACAAGAGAGGATATATTACCAGTAAACGCGCTCCTCATTGTGACAAAGTGATTGTTTAATATCAACTGAAGATGAAGATACCCCTGTAATAAAAACAGTGAATAATGTAAAAAAGGTTTTATCGGAGTCAATGTCTTGTTTTTAAAACTTAGATGCATACCACGAATAGAAGACTCTGTCTCTATCTCCTGAATTTGTTCCTGATGAATTTCTTTCAGAAAGGGAAGGAGCTTGATAATCAAATACTGCAAATGCTTGATCTTTTCACGATCAGTGAGATCCCTTCTTGATGTCTTCAAGGAAAGATATATTTAACAGTAATTAGGAAACAAAAGCTACAAGCTCATTTTGTTTGATTAAAAGGAAAGAAAAGGCAAACCTTAAGCATGCCACTTGAGTGTAAGCACCAGTTGCAGTTACATTTTCCACGACAATATGGGCAAGCCTCTGAGATTTCCTCTTCTTCCAATTCCGGATACCTGCTCGCCAAAAATAAATAGCAGGAAGCTTAAAATGAGGTTAAAACTCCATTCGACACTAAAAGAGAATCACTAAGCATTTGGACAGCAAGATAAGAGATACACATTGGAGGTTTACCATTCCCTGATGCACTTGATACAGTAAAATTTCTCTTTACACTTAGTGCAAGGAACAACAGTTCTTCTATCACTTCTTCTACATTGATGACAATTTACCTGCATAGGATAAAATAAATAAGTCATCGTCTGAAAGAAATAAGAAAAACAGAGTAGAAATGCCATTTAAAGTGAAAGATGAATAAAAAGAGCTTGACCTTCACGTTTTTAGATCTATCTATTCCATTTCTCGAAATTGTCGAACCAGAAGACGATGAGGAGGAAGGCAATGAACTACAAGCAGATAACGTCACTGAATTATTTATTATATCTCTCAGACTATCTTTAGGTTTTGATTCATGTGAAACTTCACTTCTCTGACTTCTTGTGTTACTTGGTGTATGATGCCAAACCTCATACTCCTCAGTATCATCTTCCCACTCATCAACATGGTAATCATGATCATATCTCTTGACTGATGCAGCAGCACGTCTTACTGATGTCCTTTTATTCTCTGCATTTTTCTCATAAATTCTCTGCTTCTTTTTTCCATCCTTGGACAAATTTGACTTTTCCTTGCACATATTCCAGTCATCATCATTTTCATCCATTTTATCCATTGTACTATCTTCTCGAGGACTCTTCTTCTTGCTTGACGTTCCTAGACATTGTTCTCCATTTAATTTAGCAGGTGCCCAGGAAGGAAATGAACTACAAACAGGTAACTTCCCTGAATTTTTTATTATATTTTTCAGACTATTTTTTGGTTTCGACTCAGGTGAAACATCACTTCCCTGGTTTCTTGTGTTACTTGGTATATGATGTCCATCACTTAGAGGGAAAACCTCATACTCATCAGTATCGTCTTCCCACTCACCAATATAGTAATCATTACCGTATCTCTTGAATGATGCAGTAGCACGTCGTACAGATATCCTTTTATTCTCGGCATCTTTTTCATGAATTCCCTGCTTCTTTTTTCCATCCTTGGACAAACTTGGCTTTTCCTTCCACTCATCTTCACTTGTACTCTCTCCTTGAGGAATCTTCTTCTTGTTTGACGTTCCTAGACATTGTTCTCCATTTAATATAGCAGGCACCCGCCTTTTATTCTCTGAGCCTTGAATTTCACGAGTCCCTGGCATTTTCTTTCCAACCTTGGGTAAAGTTGGTTTTTTCTTGCACACACCCTGCTTTTCTTCACTTCCAAATTCCACCTTGTTCATTGTATTATCTCCTTTATGAGTCATCTTCTTTCTTGAAGTTCCTGGAGGTTGTTCTAGATTTACTTTATCAGGCATCCTTTTTGTCTGTGAATTTCCTCTCAGAAGAACGCTTTTTGTGGCGGTAGATAGTTTGAGCCTGTCCTTGCACTGGGAAGGCTCATCTTTCTCTTCATCATTCCCTTTATTTCTCATAGGTCCACTTCTAAGAATTTTTCCCTTGGTGCAAGATCTCAAAAGCTTCTCTGAATTTCTTAAATTATTCAATGTTTCCTTAAGTGGCATCTGAAAGTTTGTTAAGGATCCTGGAAAATACTCTTCATCCTCTTCCTGTTCCTGTTCCTGTTCCTCTTCACTCTCCTCTTCTTCATCATCACCCACCAATTCATCCCAAATTTTAGAACTTAATTTCTTCTCTGCTGAACGATGATACCCCTTGGATGTGATTCTGCTATGTGAACCTTCAGATTCCATTACAGTCATTTTTTCCTTAGCTACCGTCTTGGTTCTCAGATGTGATTTAACCATGTTCCTCTTAGGCTTTTCCGCTGTTTTTACTTTCTCTGTCGATCCACCCGATAAAAGTGCATCCTCCTTCCTGATTGCAACATTTGCGTGCTCTGACACAGTTCTTTTGCCACGGGAGGCGCCAGGCTCAGAACAAAGCTTTGGTTTCTTATTAGGTAATTCTGTAACATTGAGCACCGATGCTGCTGCATTGTCCTTTTCAAGCTCTTCTTCATCGCGGTTTAGGATAAACTTTCTCTTCCTAAACACCCTAGACTGGTTTCTCATTCCCGGTGTGTCTTGATTCTGACTGCTCAATGGCCCTTGTTTCGCAACTAATGTTGCCATCTTCTACTCCCAACACAACTGAAAAAAGGAACTTAATAAGCAAAAGTACATATATTTCATAATTATACCAACTTTAAAATCCTAATCTTCAGGATAAATGACAGTGCAATAATGTTATACACAAATAATGAATCTTAAATGCAAAAACCTATCAATCAAACATCAGCAAGCAGATTAAAGTCCTAATGCAAAAACATAGACACTAAAATGTAATTATATCAAACTAAAATCAACTAATCTACTATTTATACTCATTTAAAAGCTACAGGAAAAAAAAAACAGATTAATGAATAAAATTTCCAGCATAAACCGGGGTGAAACAAAGTCAACATAACCGGGTCAACAGTCATCCCCTCAAACCTATTCACCATAAATAATTATTTTTACAAGAAAAAGAAGAAGATGAAATTCTGAATCAACCCAATCCCTAATTCTTACATCAATTTATCGGCATTTCAATCTAAAACGAACAATCATTTAATCCTTAGAATCTATATCCCAAATTCATTCAAATTCCCAATACTCATACGAAAATTCACAAGAAAACATAAAAAAATTAAAAAATAAACAGAAATTGACTGAAACCCAAGATCAGAAATATATATAAAAAGCAATGGAAAATTCCAATTGAACTCACCTGATCAATGGATCAGTTGAAACAGCTCCGATTGAATTCCAATAATTCTAATTCATCATGCAGTGAATTTCAAGAATTGAAATTAAAAAGAAAATGAATGGAGTGAAGAAAAGGAAAGAAAATCGATTTTTTTATTTAAGGGAAAACGGAGAAATTGAGAAAAGGAAGAAGGCGCAACAAAACCATGTAGAGGGTAACAAAACAGTGGGTGATACTGTCTCTACTTTATTTTTTTTCTTATTAGGACTTGGATTTTGTAGCAGTAAATCTTTGGGTCTTTTTGGGAAATTGTGAATTTTTAAGAATTATCCTAATTTGTATATACCACTTTTTAAAAAATAATAGTACTACTATTAGCAGTTTATAGCTAGCTTTTCAGCCGTAGTACATTTATTTGTTCAGTTAACATATTTAGAGAAAAATTATATATATTATTTTTAAATTTATTAATATGATATATCAATTAATATGAATATTATAATAAAATATATACTTTATTTATTTTTTGAGGAGGTCTGTAACGTTTATTATAGGTGAGTCAAAATAAATCGAGTGAGTACATAAACTCAAAAAAAAAAAATTATGCTAACGTCTATGACCTAAATATTATTCATAGCCCATTCGACGTAAAAGTTAGCCCACAGCTATGCCAAATTTTACAGAATAACAGCACTTGTGAGATTTGTCCATTTTGTATTTAATTACCACATTTTAGCACAATGCAGTTAATATTAAAAATAAAAATAAACATTCAAGTTTATCTAGTATGAAATGGAACACATATTTTATATTATATTTTCAATTCAATGAACATTTATCAAGAAGATATACGCATATTAATGAATTAGATTTTGGATTTTAAAAACTAGAGCAGAAATTCATCTGTATTTTCTGTAAAATAAAACAAAGAAGGGTATTATATCTTAAAAGGAAAAATAATAACGAAACCTCATAAATTACTTAACACATTTTAGTATGAATGCCAACAATATGTATTAATTAATGGATCTTATTTTTGACCAATTAATGCGACATCGTTTGTGATTGCTTAGAACTTAATATGTCAATTTAATATCTTAATCTGTAGTTTAATTAAAAGATTAATAGAGCAATCATTTAGGGCCCGTTTGGCCATGCGATATGGTATCATGATATGGAATCATGAGATGAAATTGAAGGTTTGTTTGGACATGTGATATGGAATTTTTGTGTTGTATATTTTCTCATAAACATAAAAATTCCATAAGTTGAAAAACTATTAAAATAGCCCCAATTGTTTATTCAATCTTATCAAATAAACAAAAAATTATAAAATTGCATAATAAATTATTATAAAGTTATTTGTTCTCCACTTAAGTAATTGTTTCATCTAACTTTAATTTAATAAAAAAAATTGAACATAAATTGTAGTGTACTAGTCTTTAATATAATCCTCTCACATAGTACGGCCAATTTCCTCACGTTGAACTTGCATTTCTCGATCATGTGACCGAGAAGACGAACCAACATTGTTCCTTTGAGCCATTTGTTGGTCAATATCCTCCGCAACTATATCTTCATGTTCATAGACCATAAATATTTCATCACTACTTTGATATTCTCGCAAATAATTATGTAACACTGCACAAGCTATGACAATTTTCACTTGTGTATCAATATCATAATGGTTCATGCCTTGTTTCAGTATTCTAAATCTATTTTTCCAA